TGGTACCGGCGGTATTGACGCTCGTAGTTAGAATCTGCCGCATATTGCGCATGCGCTGTGTGCTCTCTTGCCAAAACAAGAGGCCGCTTGCGCGCATGCCGCTTAGGAGCGTCCTAGTTCGGCGCGAGCGTCCAAAACGCCCGGGTACAGGCCCTACACTCGTACAGCTTACAGGTGTATTGTATTTTGTTATGTCTTGTGGTGGCTGAACCAGCCTGTTAACGTGTTCCTCGTGTCCTCGCGGACGATAGCCCCTGCCCGCCGTGCTGGGATATGGTTGTGTGCGTTATCAAAGGTCTTACCCGTCGATCGCTAAGGTTACTTGTTACTCGTATAATAGTGATCGCTGTCCGACAAGTGACTGATGTGACTATAACCGATTGTCTATCTTCTAATCGCCTTAGCAAGATCACCTGTGTATTCTGAGCTATGAATAGCATATGTGTATGACGGTACTGTAACTAAAATGTTTTGTTTTATTTGAATTGTCATGTAGATGTATATGAAAAAATTTAAAAGGAGATTCACGCTATAAAAATAACATCCCAATATTTAAGCTTACCCCAATACATTGTAATCTTATCTGTGTTGCTGGCGTGTGTTACTTCAATCTGTACGACTGGCTTTCCCGTTGATGATCGATCTCTCTCATACCGTGCACAGCAATGAGCTTCAAAAATGGTATGTTCTGAGCATAAAGCCAGAGCCTAATAACTAGATGTTCGTTCCGGCGAGCGATACATACTCACGTTAACCTAATTTCCTACACATATCATAGGTGAAAGGCTTATGTTCTGGCAACTTCATAGACCTACACGCCACTCAAATGTACCATGCTATTGCTATATCGATAGCGAGATATCTAAATTCAAGGTGGCGAATTATCAAAGCACTCCAGACGTATACATAGTCACAGATGTCTTTAGCTAGGGTCTGGCGGATTATAACTGGACCATGAAATCAGGAGATATGTTAAAAGATTTTCTAGGACAATATATTAATATTTGCGGACTTCGCTTGATTATTTTTGTGAGGTTATCAGCTAATCTCAATAGATCGCGAAATTTAACAATTCTTCTGCATCCCGTGCCGCCTTCGAGCCGGCTCCTTACTGTGTTGCGACGTGCGATAAATAATAGCTCATTGAAGATCCACTATATTACTAGACGCCGATCCGACGCACCTATGGTAAGATAAGTATTGTCCTAAGTTCCTTGATTAGTTATCTCGTGTCTTCTCTCATTAAGACGCCGTACTTAATAACTAGTACTACGCTACGATTTGGACATCTGACATTTAGCTGCGATGCATAAAGTAATTAGTACTAAGCATCTCCGTTGTCTACTGATTTTGCATTTATAGTGCCATTCCTCTTTATGTTTCCACACATCCACAGTTACGGTCTCTCAACCATGGTCACCAATATAGTGCATCGAATCTTAGACTTATAATGTACCGGAGGAGTTATACTGAGTGTGTGAGAATTTATAAATAGCTTCAAATGTGTGGATGTAACTTCACTCAAGCCATGAATTAAAGATGAAGTGCGTAAGACAAATTACTAGGTCACTTTATCCGAGACCATTTAATTTTTCAGATCCACCTGAGACAAGGTTTATTTATATCATGACAGATATGATTCATAATCAACCTTGATTGTAAATACGTATATAGGTCACGGCTTCGTGAAACCGGGCGCACCAGTGGCGGAGGTGTATGTTATATAGTTGTTTAATAGGTTAAATTTTATAAAATAATAGTTCATTACAACTCCTTAACCCTAAAGCCCGCTGACCCCGCAGGGAGTCAGCCGAAATGACCCCGAAATTTGCGTGCACAGAGCCACTAAATACGACAACTGTACTAGTTATGCCCGCAAATATTCCCGCTCCAAGAGACGCGCTGCTATTTTACCAAGGCCAACCGTTATACTTCACTCTCCTCACCCTAGAAACCACAAGGGCAGCTCTCGAGATACCGTGACTGCGCCGTGGCCACCGAGGCAGTTCTGTTAGAGGTATAACATGTATACCATACAAACACCTAGTGGTGCACCT